CTTCTTCTTCTTCTTCTTCTTCTTCTTCTTCTTCTTCTTCTTCTTCTCTTTCTTTCTTTCTTTCTTTCTTTCTTTTCTTTTTGAAGAAAGGGACAACCAGGGATCCCATCATCCAGTATTTCATCCTTTCGGCAGGGCAAGGGCATTGCAGACCACCAGCTCCTTCATACAGTGCACTGGGCTGTGATTCATCCAAAATGAATAGGAGCCTTAGGTGCAAACCTCCGGACGCTGGAACACCTTCAGCACTGACTGACTCACCATCAGTCAATTGCAAAAGTGGAATGAGACGTGTGGGAGACGAGGGGAAGTTATGCTGCCTAGGAAGCAATTGGACAAAGAGGGGCAGGAGCCCCCAGTCGCCAATCAACCCCAGAAAGAGACGGAGAGACGACCTGCCCTAATGGATCAAAAGCAGCCGAAGGAAGTGCGGCACTTCCAGACCTGCAAGATTCCATTGATGCAGCTTCACAATAAAGGACAGTTTAGATAAACCGGTTCCGTTTCTTGTCCGGTCTATCTGGGCCCTGTCTCCACTCTGATCACTCGAGGGAGGGTCTCTGTCCCTCCCCCCCCCACCAAAGGCATGGCTGACAAGCCAGCTTTTCTCAGCTGAGCAGGGACCCTCCAGATTCCAGGGGGAGCCTCATTCCACAGAGAGAGTGGGCCCTGCACCTGGGAAAGGGGCTTGCCAAGGTCCCGAGAGATCAGTCAGGCAGATACCGAGGAAGAGACGCGGTCCTACCCACAATTGGGCTCTGGGGCAGGTGGGGCTTTACGGGTAGCGACCAGCACCTGTGGCACATGATCCCTTACAAGTTCCCAAGTGCACTTCCGCCACCGCCATCTTCTGTGGGGGAGCCACAGGGCGAGAGCAAAAGTGGTCCTCCCTTCCGGCTCTCATTCCTTGCAGGCTCTGTGAGCTGAGACCTGGGGGGGGGGGGCAGCTTGCTCTGCCTTAGATTTCCCCTGAAGCTGCCTCAACTAGGTCAGCGGCGAGCCTGGGCCCGACTGGAGCTGGAGCACCGCCGCAGGCAGGCAGTCGTTTCCCAGGGCTTCTGACAGCTCCAGCTTTGCCCTCCGAGGGGAGTCCCTGGACGCTTATGAACCAGCCCAAGAACACTACGCAGGGCACTGGAACAGCCTTTTTCTCTCTTTTTCTCTAAGTCCCAAGGCCCACGGCTGCAGAGTTGGGAATCGTTCCCCAGGCAAAAGCATCCTTGAGCCCAGAGCACGGAGATGACATTCGGAGGAGACTCAGACAGGCGCCTCCCTAACTCACTGCAGCAGGAGGAGGTTTGGCACAAGCAGATTGGCTGCGTTCGGCCCTTCAAGCTGAGTGCCCAGCAAGGGAGGGGGGGGCGGGTATGGGAAGAAACGGCTGCCAGTCCCTGGTGGTCTCTTGGGGCCACAGGGGAAGAATCCCTTGCAAGCAAGAAGGGCCCCTATGCTCCTTCCCTCTCCTCCCCAGCCCCTCCCATGAAGCCCTCCCCACCCCCAAATGCTCTGCCTGGGCAGTCAGCCCAGAGGGCCAGGGAAGACCTGGCCACCAAAGACTGGGGGAAGCTTCGGAGGTCTCCCCTCTTTCCGGAGAACCTACCAGCATCCAGGGGGTTTCCCCGGCTTTCTTGGGTGAAGTTGCGCCAAAGGGAGATCACAGGGGTGCCCATCCTGCTGTCTGGGCCGGGGGTGGGTTTTCTGAGCTTCTGCCCTCTCTCCCCCACCGCCACCTGAGGCGTTCTGCAGTAGTAAAAATAGAAGGGGACACGGATGAATTCAGTATCTTCACAGAGAAGCAGTGGTGGTATTCGACCGGTTCTGCCCAGTTCTGGAGAGCCGGTAGCGGCGATGAGCAGTGGAGACCGAACCGGTTCTCTTCGCTGCTCTGTGTTTGGCCCACCCGCCTGCCCGGGCTCCCATACTCACTTTTATGGCCAGAATTCAAAGCGCAGCTGCTTTGTGCAGCGACCAGTATCGTGCAGGCTTGTAGGAGGCAAGTTAGACCGCCTCTGCGCCTGCGCAAAGTGCGTGTTGGGCGCACGCATGCATGCAAAGTGTACATGCGCACAAAGCGTGGCCACCAAGCCACGCCCACCGAACCGGTGGCAACTTTATTTGAATACCACCACTGCCTGAACTGGCTCTGAACTAGGGTTGAGTGTCTCTCTGCTTGCCCCAAGAACTGGTCTGGGCCACCCTGCAAAGTCTCAAAGGACTCCTGTGTGTGTGTGTGTGTGTGTGACCCTTTTTGAGCACCTCCCTCCCTCCTGCTACCCCCGCCCACCCCCAGGCCCTGCACTGAGGCACAGCACTAAGTGGCTTTTCTTGCCTCTGCAGATCACACACATCGCAGGCGGTGTTCCAGGATCCACCCTTCGTAGTTTAATCCATTAATAGCTACAGTCACAAAACAATGCCAGACTGGCAGAAATAGCCATAATTTAGCTTTCTTCTCTGCAGTGGTGGTATTCAAATAAAGTTGCCACCGGTTCGGTGGCCGTGGCTTGGTGGCCGCGCTTTGCACACATGCACAGTTTGCGTGCATGTGCGTGCCAAACATGCACTTTGCACAGGCGCAGAGGTGGTCTAACTTGCCTCTTGCAAGCCTGCACAATGCTGGTCACTGCAGCAGCTGCCGCGCGGCGCTATTCTGCGCTGCGCAAAGCAGCTGCGCTTTGAATTCTGGCCATAAAAGTGAGTATGGGAGCCCGGGCAGGCGGGTGGGCCAAATACAGAGCAGCGAAGAGAACCGGTTCGGTCCCCACTGCTCATTGCCGCTACCGGCTCTCCAGAACCGGGCAGAACCAGTCGAATACCACCACTGAGTTCAGGGCTCCCGAGTGAGGCCTGAGGGAACAGCACAAAGCCTGCCAGGGTCTGAGTAACCCCCCCCCCCCCTCTCTCTCTCTCTCTCTCTCTCCCAGGTGCGTGGGAAGATGGTAAAGTGCCTGTAGGACCATGCCCTACACAATGCAGTATGGCTTTCTCCTCCTGGCCTCCTGCTGCTCCCTCCTGAGTGTTGCCCCCGGGTGGGCCTGCCCAGCGCGCTGTGAGTGCGTCCCTCAGCTCAGGTCCGTCACCTGCCATCGGAAACGCCTGACGTCCGTCCCGGAGGGAATCCCGACCGAGACCAGGATCCTGGAGCTGAACAAGAACCGCATCCGCTGCCTGAACGCGGGTGAGCTCTCCTCCTTCCCCATGCTGGAAGAGCTCGACTTGAGCGAGAACGTCATCTCCAGTGTGGAGCCTGGGGCCTTTGGCAACCTCTTCAGCCTGCAAGTCTTGCGGCTCCAACGCAACCAGCTCAAGCTGATCCCTGCGGGCGTCTTCCACAAACTGGCCAACCTCAGCCTCCTGGACATCAGCGAGAACAAAATCGTCATCCTTCTGGACTACGCGTTCCAAGACCTGAGGAACCTGAAGCACCTCGAAGTCGGGGACAACGACCTGGTCTACATCTCTCGGAAGGCCTTCTCCGGCCTGCTCAGCCTGCGGGAGCTGACCATCGAGAAGTGCAACCTGACGGACCTCTCTGCCGAGTCCCTCTCTCGCCTGCAAAACCTGGAGGTCCTCCGGCTCAGGCACCTCGGTGTCAGCCTGCTGGAAGATCAGAACTTCCGGAAACTCGGCCGCCTGCGGCTCCTGGAAATCGACAACTGGCCGTTGCTGGAGGACATTTCAGCCAACGCCTTCCAGGGCCTCAACCTCACCTCCCTCTTCATCACCTTCACCAACATCACGGCCGTGCCGGCCACAGCGCTGAGGAGCCTGGGGCACCTGGTGTACCTCAACCTCTCCTACAACCCCATTGGCAGCGTGCCCAGGGGCTCCTTCCGGGACCTCACCCGGCTGAGGGAGCTCCACATGGTGGGCGCCCTGCTGGCCTCCGTGGAGCCCCAGGCTCTCTCCGGGCTGAGGCAGATCCGCCTCCTGAACCTCTCCAACAACCTCTTGTCCACCCTGGAAGAGAGCACCTTCCACTCTGTCAACACCCTGGAGACCCTTCGGGTGGACCAGAACCCCCTTGTCTGCGACTGCCGCCTGCTCTGGGTCCTCCAGCGCCGGAAGACTCTGGACTTCGACGGGCAGCCACCCATGTGCTCCTCGCCCCTTGAGATCCAGGGCGACGCCCTGCACGACTTCCCGGACTCCATTCTCTTCGAGTACTTCACCTGCCAAAAGCCCAAAATCCGGAACCGCCACCTCCAGCATGTGATGGCTCACGAGGGGCAGGCGGTGTCCTTCCAGTGCCAGGCGGAGGGGGAGCCCAGGCCCTCCATCAGCTGGGTCTCTCCTCAGCATCGGATGATCACCTCCAAGAGTTTGGGCCGGGCCACCGTCTCACCCGGCGGGTCGCTGGAGATCCGCTACGCCCAGGCCCAGGACAGCGGGACCTACATTTGCATCGCCAGCAACACTGCCGGCAACGACACCTACTTTGCCATCCTGACGGTCAAGGGCCCCCCCACTGATGGCAACCTGGACGCCAACCGGACCTCGTTGCTGGGCGAGTTCAACGACACTTGGCACAACGACACCCGGGTCTTCGTCAAGTTCACCCTGGACCTCAAGACCATCCTGGTGTCCACGGCCATGGGCTGCATCACCTTCCTGGGCGTGGTGCTCTTCTGCTTCCTGCTCCTCTTTGTCTGGAGCCGCGGCCGGGGGCAGCACAAGAACAACTTTGCCGGAGAGTACTCCTTCCGCAAGGTGGACGGCCCCACCTCAGCTTCCGGGCAGGGCGGGGCCAGGAAGTTCAATATGAAGATGATCTGAAGGCCCCTGGCCACTACTGGGAGGGAGGGAGGCCACCACTGCCCTGCTCCACCTCAGCGGAACTGCACGGCTGCGGGGGGGTGGGGGGCAGGAATCAAGGGCTTGCGTCCCACTCCCCACTCATGCTCTGCGTCAGCACTTGTAAGGCCAGGCCTCCCCCCCCCCCCAGGATGGGGCAGAGGGGCTGCTCTCCTGGCAGCAGCTGGTCCAGGTCAGCCTGCAGGCGCCGGCAAGAGCTCTCCTTTGGCAAGCAAGTGACCAGCTGCCTCCCACTGCCTGTGGCAGATGGCCGGAGCAGCTTCAGCTGGGGGGGAGGGCCTTTGTCCCCCTCAAGACATCAACTGCCCTCCCCCGCCTCAGAGTCTGCCTCACTGTGCTTCCATCTCCTCCCCCCATGTCTGTTGGCCAGGTGGGGAATACAAGCGGGGGGGGGGGGGGGGGGGGGCCCCCCCCCCCCCAGAGCCGAGTCAGCGTTTTCTATTTCAACTATGCATTTTTCAACCACTGAGAGCAATTCCCTTCAGCCTCGGAGGCCCCTCTTTTTTAGCAACAATTTTGAAAAAAACCAAACCAGGTTTAGTCGATGGGTTCGTTTTTAAATGGTTTTATATCCGCGTTCATCGTCTTCCTAGGTGACAGGACTGCAAGGGAGGGGGCGACAGCTACTCCCCCCTCGGCCCATCCAAGCAGAGCTGAGCACCGGCAGCCGTGGCCGGCCTCCGAAGCGCTCCCAGGGGCAGGTCAGCGGAGAGGCCCGCGGACTGGCCGGCAGCTCCTCTTCCCTGCCAGAATTCAAGGGTGGCGAAGAGCAAAACCCCGAAGCTTCTCAGGCTACAGCGAGACAACGGCTTCCGTGGTGTCCTGAAGGGGGCGCTGCTGAGCCCCGACCCGCCCTCCCCGCGCCTGCCTCAGGCCGGATGGAGCTCGTGCATGCCCCCCCCCCGGGACCTTTGGGGCTCAGGGCCCCGGCTCTTCCCTTGGCAGCTAAGGGCAGTTTTCACACATTGCAATTAGCCATAAAGTCTTCGGTCTTGGCCGAGCAAGATGCAGGCAATGAACCGCGCCAATGAAGGCTTAATTAACAAGCCATAGTTTAACCGGGAATTGCTTAGCATGCCGCTGAGACCAGCTTGCATGCGCGTGTACGCCTGAGGGTCCCTGGCCGTGCTGCGGCCGCCCTTCCGCCCTCCCTCCCCGTGGCCGCCCAGCATCTCTGCAGCAGCAGCAGAGCGTCCACACCGGCCCGGCAGCCCAGGGAGCCCCCTCCAGCAGAGCCACGGGAAGGGGCCGCCCAGCGAGGGAGCCCAGATGCGGGTGTGGCCCAAGGCAGAGGGGAGCCGGCCTTCGCTGAGCCGCATCCTGCCTCGGCGCGTCTCTGCCGCTGCCGGACAGGTTGACGGCAGCCGCTCCCCTCGGCCGGGCGGGCCTTCCCGAGAGGAGGGGGCTCAGCCTGGAAGGGAGAAACGGAGACTCTCTTCCGTCCCTCCCCTCCCATGGCGAGGCGGGGGACGGATTTGCATCCAGGCAAAGGCACAGCAACGGGGGCTGATTGCGGAGGACCAGCCCGTCGGAGAGCTCCGTCAGCAGGTCCTTCTGACCAAAGCGATCCCCCAAAGCCCCCGCCCTGCCCCAGTTACAGGTCCCGTCGGGGAAGAGGTTTCGCACCTGGGGCCAAACTGAAGAAGAAGAGTCCGCCGCCCACATTCCCCTCCGTTCCCTCCCCTGCCCCCTCCCCATGCACAACTGCTCCCAGACTCATCCCACCCAGGGACACAAGGGCCCATCGAGCGAAGCAGCGCTGCTCCCGCCCCCCAGCAACCGGCTGCAACCAGCCGCGTCTCTTTCTATAAAGGGCCGCAACGCAGGAGCTGAGTTACCGCTCTTCGTTTTCTCTTTTGGGTGGGCGGAGGAGATGCTGGGCTGGTACTGGACAGGCCTGGCTTTAAATCGCCCTTCAGCTATGGGACCCCGAGTGGCTGAGCCAGCCTACCTTGCAGGGCTGTTGTGCAAAAGAGGCCAGCATAGGCCCAAAGGAACACAAGTCTTAGCTGGCATTAGCACTGGCAATAGCTCACCCCCCCCACCCCCCAAGACCACCAATTGTAGGGAGACCCCGCTCAAGAAGGGGAGCTGTCGGTCGGCAAGATTTCTGCCCCCCCCATAAAAATCACCTCCCAAGCGGGGGCGAGGGACACAGCTGGGAAAAAGGGGGTCCTGGGTGGGGGGGGGGCCCCTTTTTCCCCCCCCCCCCGTTTCTTCCTCGCCCCCCCCCCCCCCCGCCCGCGGGAAAGAGAGCCTGTTGCAGCCATCCAAGCACGTCCTTCTTCCTGCTTGACTTAATAAAGAAGCCCGTTTCACACGAGCTCTGCTCCTCCTCTTTTTGTTCGGGCTCCGAAGAACAGCGCCGGCATTTTCTCGCTCGCCCGCCCCCTCGGAAGGTTTACAAGCAGCCACGAAGGGCGCCCGCGAGCTCTTTCTGGCGCTCCGTTCCCACGCCACGGACAACACGCAAAGGCTCCGCGGGAGCCCGTGGGGACGCGGAGTTGATGCGTGTCGCGGAAATCCAGTTTAGAGGAAGGCGCGCCGCCCTCCCCGGCCAAAGCCGCCGCTCCAGAGGTCATCCAGCCTGACCCGCTCCAAGCCACGACCCGTCGGCTCTTTGGACCCGTTCAGCCCCCTCCAGGGCCCGGCGCAGAGCCACGACCGGCGGGAGAACGCAGGGTCTCCGAGCGCCGCCTCCGAGGGTGACCCGCCGCGTCGGGCGGAGGATGGTCCAAGATGGCGGCCACACGCCGCACTACATCCCCCGGCAGGCGCCGCGCGGCCCCCGATTGGACACGCTCCGTCTCCCGAGGTGCCCCGCGAGGGGCGTCGCCTTCGGCCGTCGGTTGGCGCGCGCCGCCATTTTGTGGGATTGAATGACCCGCCGCCCGCCCGGCGGTCTCCGCTCGCGCCATGTCCGCCTCCGCCGCGCCCCCGCCGCCGGCCCCCCCGGGCGGCCCCCCCGCCACGCCCCTCTCCCCCGCGCGGCTCTCGCGGCTGCAGGAGAAGGAGGAGCTGCGCCAGCTCAACGACCGCCTGGCCCACTACATCGAGCGGGTGCGCGCTCTGGAGCTGGAAAACGACCGGCTGCTGCTGCGCGTCTCCGAGAAGGAGGAGGTGGTCACGCGCGAGGTGGGTCGCGGGGGAGGGGCGCGGGGGGGGGGCGGGGGGGGGGGGGGGGGCCCGTCACGGCGCCTCTCTCTCGCGCTGGCGCTCTCTCTCTCGGCCGGCAGGTGACGGGCATCAAGGCGCTGTACGAGACGGAGCTGGGCGACACCCGGCGGGCCCTGGACGAGACGGCCCGGGAACGGGCCAGGCTCCAGATCGAGGCCGGGAAGCTGCGCGCCGAGTTCGAGGAGCTGCGGCGGAGGTGGGGGGGAGTTGGAGGGGAAGGAGGAAGCGCTCGCCCCCCCCCCCCGTTGGCCCGGCCCCCCGGGGGGGGGGGGGGGGGGTCCCCCGGGGGGGGGGGGGGTGGGGGGGGGAGGTTGGCGGGCAGCCACGCACCCCTCCCTCCTCCTGCTTGCAGCCCCTTCTCTCTGCCGTCCCGCCCCCCAATTGTGGGGGCTGCGCCAGGCCAACGTCCCTTAAGGGAGGCACGTAGATTTTGGGAGGTGTTCTCGGCCTGTCCTGGGGCAGGTGACAGCTGAGGTCTGAATGCACAAGGGGTCTGAGGCAGGAGGCATTTGCCTGGTCCGGATCCCTGCCGTGTTCTTGCATCGTTTGTGATGATGATGCTATAGTTTTTTGCTAAGTTTGTCTGAAGCTTGCAATCGGAGCGAATGAATCCTGCGCAGGTTCCATTTTTACACTTTAATCAAATTGCTTAATATTTGAAAGTTGGTTCTGGCGTTTCCAAGTTAAACACCTCTGGGAAATGCTTGCTTATCCTTTGTGTAAACTCCTCACCCCTGCACTGTTTCTGCCCCCCCCCTTTTTTCATGTGGGCCTCCCTCTTTCTCGGCCCTGGGGACAGGCTGGCCTGAGCTGAGAAGGGCCAGAAGCACCCGGGGGCTGCCCCATCTTGGAGGCTTGGAGGCGTTGTGGGGGGGGGGTCCCCCCCTGCCTTCTCCCTCAGCTGGGCAATCTCAATGCTGCTTCTTTTTTCCTCAGCTATAAAAAGAAGGATGGGGAGTGGTCCACCTCCCAGGGTCGCATCAAGGAGCTGGAGGTGCTTTTCCATCGGAGTGAAGTGGAGCTCACAGCCACTCTGAGTGAGAAGCAGAGCCTGGAGGCTGAGCTGGCTGACACCCGGGCCCAGCTGGCAAAGGTACAGGCGATCAGTTGGGCCAAGCCCTTGTAACAGTCCTCCAGCAGCCGAGAGGGGAGGGACCAGAATGGCCTCTGTCGCGTGGCTACTTTCCACACACTGCCACCCGTGCCGAGGGAGGCTGGGCAGCAGCAAGAGTTTTTGGGGAAGCGGTGGCTTCGACAAATGAGGTGGCACTTGGGCGTGAGTTTACGTGGCTGAGAGTCACACAGGAGTCTTTGTGACGGGTTCCTGCGAGCCTGGATTGCAGAAAGAACGGGACCGAGAGGGGCGGGTTATCCTTCTGAATAGAGGCCTCTGAGGATTGCCTGGGGTGGCTGTCTAGCCAGATACCTAGTGCAGCGGGGGGGGGGGGGGGAGACTAGATGGCCTCGGAGGTCCCTTCTCCACTTCTGTGATGCGGGGTGGACCTGTGGAGGGGGTTTATCTCTCGCCCCTCTGGCCTGGAGACGCCCTTTTTTTCCAGACGCCTCGGCCCCAGAACCTCTTGCGGCCTCCCGCTTTCCCCCAGTTTGCTGAGTGGCGAGGGGGAGGCTGGGGTTGTTTGGGGAGAAGTCTAGGGAGCAAGGCTGCACCAAGCTCCCCTGGAAGCGCAACAAGGGGGGGACCTGTGTGGAGCCCGTCTCTCTCTCCCCGAGGTTGCTGGGGTGGGCCTGGGGAGGAGGCCGCTCGGTGCCAGCTCCCCTCCTTCACCCGAGGCTCCTTGCCTGTGCAATTGGTGATGTGGCCGCCTCCCCTTTGCACCCCCCTGTCCTGCTCCCCAGCCTGAGGGAAGAGGGGAGAGCGGGTGCTCCAGTGGGGGAGGAGGAGCCCTGGCTGCAGTGGGCACAGCCGTGGACTGGACCTTCCCTCCCCCTGGGCTCCAACGGACAAAGCATCTGGGCTTTGCTCGGGGAGGGGAAGCTGCGGGGGGGAGGGGGGAGAGGCTTGGACAGGCCGAAGAAAGGCGCCTCCTCAGTGGGTCTGCAGTTACGGGTTGCTGGAGATGCTCCC